CCCCAAAATGAATTTCTAAGAGCCAGGATGCCCTATATATTTTCAGGGAGATTTGGGTCGCGTCTTGGTTAGACATTACCGTGGTGAATGCATAATGACCTGACCCAACAAGGGAATCAAAATAAAAAGAACAGGGGTTCCCAGCTTCACCCTGCGGGCCAGCCCCAGAGTCCTGGGTTGCAGTACAGTCAGCGCCACAGAACTGAATTTTGGACTCCATATGCCACGGTGGTTCCACGAGACTGTATCGCCTAATGACGTCATTGCCGTCTTAGCCTGTTCACTGTGCGATGTTCACACGTGATGAAATCGCATAAAGATGCATTTCTCGGAACGTCTCTGTCATTAAGTGAGGCATGGCTGCCTCAGACTCACATCTGGAGCCTCCGCTCGGTCCAGATTCTCCAACTCTTGTCCACCTTCTCCAGCCTTATTCTCTGAGGGCTGGGGGTTCATCTGGCCTGGGTAGCACCTGGAACCCTCAGAGGAGGAGGAGCCCAAGAGGCAGGAGAAAGTTGATGAGCATTGGCTAGGCCATGGGCTCCAATCCTACCTCTGTGCTTACTGGCTCAAAGTTCTTGCACAAATTGTGAAACTCTTTGAGCTTCAGGTTACCTCTCTGCAAAACTAGGGTGCTATGCATAGCCATGCCTGGCTTCCAGCAAGAGGCCAATGCATGGTACTTTTGCTATTATGTTCTCTTAGTCAGACAGCAGCTTGAAGCATTCAAGGGGGCACCTCCTTAGGTGTTAATTGGTTCAGCCTGAGAAGGCTTCAAATTCTGCACACTTCAGATAAGGCTTTGGAACATAGTAAGGGCTGTGGAGACCCCATCTAGATTTTTTTTTTTTAATGTGTGAAACTACTATGTAACAGATTCTTTGGAAAATAAGTACATGCATCTATTAGATTCTCCCAGCCTTCCTAGGACAGGGGTGTTATGCCCACATCTTACAGATGCTGAACTGGGCAAGGCTTGAATTGGATGAGTTGAAGTCAGGTTGGGTGGCCTTCCTAGTCAGCATGCTTCCCAAAGGTTGCTCTGAAACCACCACTTTCATGCCGGCTTCCCTGGGATGGGGCAGAGGTCCCTCCTGTGTGCCCTCTCAGCTCCTGTCCTTGAGCTGTGTGTCTGCCAGGATGAGGTGATCTCTCACCCTGGTAGTTAGTTTACTTTGTGGAAGATAGCCTTCTAGATCAGAATGAGTGAGGCTCAGATACTGTGGGACTTTGAGAAATGTGTGCAGAATCTATCTGCTCCCCTTTCTTTCCCCATATGTGTTTGAATCAACCTCTACTCTATAGGGTTGCTTGTGAGAATCATGTGAAATGATGTTTTGGAAATGTTTGCCGCAAACCCTGATGCAGTTTGCTATTAGGATGGCAAGATGGCTGGTTTACTATTATGTTTTTATTGCTAAATAGAATCTGGTGCATAGTAAAGTATGATGGCTACTTGTTGAGGGATGAAGGGAGGGAGGGGAGGAAGGAAGGAAGGAAAGAAGGAAGGAAGTGGGAGGGAGAAAGGAAAGGAAAAAAGGAAGGAAGGAGGGAGGGAGGGATGGAGGGAGTGAAGAGTGCTTATTTAATGAATATAGACACGGTTGATCTCTCTTACAGATGTTAATTAGTCCAGCCTGTTCGGCTCTTGCTAGGCTGCCATAATCTAAGCGTTTGTAAGGGTTGCCAGATTTAGCAAATAAAAATACAGGATGCTCAGTTAAAATTGAGTCTCAGATAAACAATAAATGATTTTTTTATGTTTTATTGGTGCATTATAATTATACATAATAGTGGAATTAGTTGTTACATATTTGTACACGCACACAATATAACAATATAATTTGGTCAATTTCATTCCTCAGTACCTCCCCTTCTAATGAATGCTTTTTGAAATACAAGTATGGACCATGCATTATTTGAGACTTCCTTATACTAAAAATACATTTGTCATTTATCTGGAATGAAGATTTAACTGGATGTCCCTCCTGTATTTTATCTGGCAACCTTATGTGCTTTTGGCCCTGAACATGTATTTCCATCAAGCTGTCTGTAATAGAGGTGGCAGCTTATTGGACTAGAATACATTTCTGCCAACCATTTCCAGGTTAGGTGTGCTGTTAAACTTGTACGCTGTACTACATGGTAATGACTATAATTTCAAATCCTTATGCATTTTAGACTCAACGATTTACTCTCTGTTTAATTTCTATTCTTTGAGAGCATGTGGCTTTTAAAGATGTATACAAATACATATTGAAGTAGTTGTAGATTACTTATGTCCTCAAATAGGGATGCACATTTAATATTTTCTAATGAATTTTTAATGAACATTTGAATTTAATATTTGGCAGAACATTCTGCAGGATTTAAGATATGTCCAAGAAAGGAAAGAAAAATTCAGGTCAAAATTTATATCTTTCAGAAAACAAAGATATGTTAATGCTCCCAAATTTCCCCAAACGTCTCTACATGCTTCTAAAACATCACGTCACTGTCAACCATTTGTACTCTCACTCAAACCGACTGAGATTAGAGATCCAGATAGCAGGGCTATCATTTCGAGACCATTTAAAAACATAATATGCATAATTCTAAGCTGTGGGCAAGGTGTGGCATAGAGGTCATTCTAAAAGAGGACCCTGAGGGTCGAGGCATTCTTCCCCAGGTGAGCAAAGCACAGAGACCCCACAGCTCAGGAATGGTTCAGGCAGAGTGGGATGTTTTTCCTATTGACACAAACACACCCAGTACCAGCGCTGTCTTTCTACACACATGACACCACAAACAGACTCGCACCGCTTTAAATGAGTCCCAAAGAGTCCAACCTGTTCCTCTGCAATCCTCTTGGATTCACATCACAATGGTGGCTACTTAAGGATGGAGCTTTGGATGGGAATGATTATACTTTAACATGGTGCTTTATTCTGTACGATTGCCGAGAGGGTGAAAGTAGCTATCTTATCTACGTATTTAACAGATTTGCAAGTACCTTTTGTGAGTGTTTTCCCAAATTATTGGTTTACTCTTACTTCTCTAGAGCAGATACTGTACTTTTCAGATTTTGACTGAGGATGGATGAGAGCCTTCTTTTTCTCCTTATTTACATACCGCAGTTTAAAAAATGATTACAAACCTAACAGGTGGAAAATTGGTCTTTATTATAGCACAAAATAAACATCACCTATTTGTCCTCTTGGTTTGGACCCACCGCAATTGGCTTTGAAATATCTTTCTTTTCTCTAGGTATTCTGTGTATGTCCACCTTTTTTTTTTTTTAAAGGACCAGAAAAGCATAATAGCAAGTTACATAAAATGTAAAATGTTATATAGCAAATAAATAGGATGTTGCAGAGCCCTGGGCCCACCTGTGGATTCAATAGATGCATTTAGGTTTTCATTCAATAGGATGAGCTGAAAAAATCATGCTGGAAACCAAAATGTGAATCTGCCAATAACATTTAATTATTATGATAAAAACATGCAAACAAAAAAAATGGTCTTCATATAAGCCCCAATCAGAAGCTCAGATCTTCTCACTGAGGGAAGAGTCCTGCATCAGATATGTTAGCCTTTCATGTCATCTGGGCCATCCTCATGCTAGGAAAATCTTCCTACCTGCGTGGGGTGAGGCCAGAGCCATGCCATACAAATATGCCTCTCTTCCTGGAAATGATATAGTGTCCAAACCCTTGGAGCTTGATCTGAAAATCTCCTGTTTCCAAACAAATGCTCTGACAGCAGGGGGTGGCCAGAACTCACATGTTATTATTACCTTTCCATACCTTATTGTGAATTAATTAAGAGCAAATTTGTAATCTAGCATGACCTAAACTGGACTGGTAGACATAGAAGTTTGAGTTCCTGTTGAGTCCTTAGGTTGGATGTGGCCCCAGTGGAGGACTGTCTGATTATGTGTGAGGGTCCTTAGCATGTGGGGGTGTCGTGCTGAAGGGGACAGAAAAGGAAGTAGAGGTAATGCAAAAAAGGAGATGGCAGCAATTTGCTATGACCCAGCCTTGCTTATGCTTAACGCTTGAAAATGGCTGGTGCGACTCATCAGCCAAGGCATTTGACCTTTGTCTCTGTCCTCTCTTCTGAGGTGACATAAGTAGTTTGGGTATCCAGTGACTACTCAAGGCATGAACTTGTATGATACTTGATGCAAATTACCTTAAGCTGTAGGACCCTGTGCGCATTGACCGGAAGTGGGCAGAGAGCCAATTATTTCTTTATGTAAAATAAAATCTCAAGGGCATACATTCCATCTTTCTCTGTTAAAGGTGGACTCTGATGATAGTTTACCCTCAAGAAAACCAAGAGATGAGAGAGGAAAATAGGCCTCCTCTCAATTCTCTGCAGAGAAGAGTATTTTTCTACCATCTCCTTAAGGGCACATGCTCTTTCATAGGAAAATTAATGTAGGAAATAGACAAGGGAAGGAGGTGAAAGGTAGCAATTGCTAAAAGCAAGCTGCAAAAAGCATTATTACAAGTAACAATAATAAAGACAACTTTAAGCTATTCATGAGCTGATTAAGAAATCTCTGTGTAGTGACTGCCCCTAGCAGTCCCCCATCCTGATTGCTCATCTTTTGACCATTTGTCAGTCATTAGCATTGCTATGGAAAGGTGGGGTGGAGGGGCCTAGAATGAACCCGTGAAAAGTTAGCACTTATTCATTACAAGGAGGGAGAGCCTCGGTGGCCCGGGGAGATTGGGCCTTGGGGATCATATATCATGAAGGCCTAGAAGCAACATAGGCGGAGGTGGCCTCTCTAAGTCCTTTTTATCCTATCCCCCCACTCTAAACTGGAGGACTTGAGAGAAGGGTTAGGACTTATTTATCATGTTCTGGTCCTTCATAAAAATAATTCTACTGCAGCGAGCTACTGTCCTGCTTGGCCTCAGGAGACACGGGCTGCCTCTAAGCAGACCCATCTCCCTGTAATCAGCTCCTCTCAAGGCTGAGGTTGCCACGGCCTGGGAGCAAACCCATACCTGCAGAGCTATTCTTCATCCACGTCTGTTACAAACTGTGAATGGTGTTCGGGTGACTTGCTGTGCGTTTTGCTTAGGTGGAGTTTTACTGCATGTTTGCTCACAAATGTCCGACAGCACAACTTACACTTGAATTTAGAGTCTGAATCCTCTTCGCCAGCTATTGTTTCCGGAGACCTCTGAGCCGACGACACCCGAGAGAGCTCCTGTTCCACCTTGCTTTGCTGGTCCGCGGCCATGCGGGTCATGTCCTTCATTTGGAAGCCCAGGTGAGACTCCAAGTGACTGATGTAGGTGGAAGGGGTTCTGAACTGGGAGGCACAGTCACTGCAATAGAAGATGGGGTGTCCTTTGTCCATGTTTTTCAGAAACTTCGTCCCGCCCGTTTTCCTAAGCTGGTACTTGACGTTTGCCAGCCAGTGGCTGATGGTGGTCATGGAGAGTCCCGTAAACTTCGAGATCTGCATGCGCTCTTGCGGGCCCAGGTCAGACAGCAGGTATTTGCCCTCTGATGTTTGGAAGAGGCTCGAGGCGAACTGTGCCTGCAAAATCAGGAGGTGCTGGGGGTTCCAGTTGGACTGCCGACCTTTTCTTTTATGCAGAGTTGAGACTTCATTGGACACATCCTCAAAGCGCCTGACATCCATTTCCAGCTTCACAGGAGGGACCCTTGAGGAGGTGGCAGGCTTGGGGGTGGTGGCTTTGGGGAGGACTTTGACCATGTCGGCGATGTCAGACAGAGCGTGCTTCTGAGGTGGGGACGTACAGGATTGTGCTTGCGAGGACTCGGCCTTCTTGCTTTTGGACTTGGTCAGGTCAATGGGTTGGTCATTGTTCTCAAACAGGTAGCGCCTGGACACACTGGCCGGTCTGGAGGAGGCAGGGCTCAAAACCGGCTTGTCCACAACGCTGAGATTTGACTTGTGGAACAGAGAAATTGTGCTTGAGCTTGGGCTGGAGCAAGAAGGTGAGCGCAAGGGCTCGGTGGCCTTGCCCAGGTGATTGTTCAAGACGGACTGCAGTGCGCTGAGTGGGTTGATGCACGGCAGGGCCGGCGTGTGGTTGGCGAGGGCGCATCCATTGCTAAGAGAAGACACGGGCTCCACGGGCGGCGGCTTCTCTTTCTCACAGCTCTCCTTCATCAGCTTGTCCTCCTCCTTCAGGGGACACGGCTCCGCCTTTCTGGAGTCCGAAGGCGGTTCACTTTTGGGGAAGGGCTCCTTCTCACTGTGGCTGAAGGACGATGCCTCTTCCTGGGGACTTTCCTTCCCACTCTCCTTCACGACTTCGTCTTTGTCTTCCGACTCCTTTTTGACTTGAGTGTAGGGGGCCAGGTTTGGGGGCACAGACACCAGTGGCATGACTTTCCATTTTGGAGCGATGGGCCTCAGCTTGTTGGCGAGATTAGGTCGGATCTGCAGTACCTGGGATCCCACGGGCAAAGGCGGCTTGGCACCCTCTGGCAGTTGGTAGGCCGCGTGGATGCTGGGGTACGCGCTCCAGCTGGGGGCGCCATTCTGGGCTTTGTGGATCGCTGTGGTTACAGTGTTTTCCAGAGACTTCAGGATGTCCCCTCCGCCCTTGGCGCCGTCTTCCAAATCCTCCTCCCTCAGGTACTGGTACTTCATGGTGGGGTCTAAAGGCTTTTGGAGAGGGTCTTCATATTCCTCACTTTTCACGACCTTTTCACCCTTGTTGGCTTCCTCTGGCTTGTCTTTTTTGCTCTCTTTCTTTAACTCGGTGGTCGAGGCTGTACAGTCGGATGCTGAGTTGCTCGATGGCTTGGGAGTCAGAGAGTCACTGTTTGGGGTCTCTGACAAGGACTGCATTTTCTCCACTGCGAGTGGGTCCAACACCAGCTGCTTCCCTTTCTTGGAGGCAGAGCTGGTGACCTTGAGGAAGTGGCCTGTGACCATCATGTGGGTGGTGAGCTGCTGCAAGGTGTCGTGGGAGCTCCCACACTCCATGCACTTGAGGATCTGGGACTTGCAGGCCTCGAACTGCCAGGTGTAGCTGGCGCCATTTTGGTAGCCATAGCGGTTGTTGGAGGACAGCTGCAAACTGGCGGCGGTCTTCTGAGAAGGAAACGAATCTGCAAACGATCCGGTGGTGGAATCGGGGGAACAAGGCCGATTGACATCGAACACACGCTTCTTGGCCGGAGTGACCATTTTTGATGAAATGGTTGGCACTGGCTCCTTCAAAGGCACTTTTTGGTAATGTTTTGTCTTTATCATATGGACACTCAAATCTTGGAGGGAATCGAAGGAGTCACCACAGAACATGCATTTCAGAACCTTTTGAGCATCCTCCTTATCCATATCCTGAAAAGCCCGTTTCCGGGGCTTTGAATAGCTCGTGGGTCTAAGCTTGTCCTTTTTGCGGTTGTCATCTTGATAGTGGCCGGTCTCATTCATGTGCACAGTCAACTCAACCAGGGTGTCGTAGGCAGCACTGCACTGCCGGCAGCGGAACCTGCTGGCCCCAGTGAACACAGTCCCGCACATCTTGCTGCTCTGCCGGTACAGCTGCACGGAGCTGAACAGGCTGGGCTTCGAGACCGACCTGGAAGGCAAGTTTTGCTGCAGGCTTTTGGACAGAGCGTCTTGGTGCCAATCAAAATCACTCTTGTTGCTGCCATTGCGGGTGTCACAACTGCGCCTCTCGCTATTGGAGAGCTTGAAACCCAGGCCCAGGCCGGACCAGTAGGAGTCCGACAGGATGTTGGCATACACGGCGGTCATTTTATCCATGCAATTGTGTGCCTCGATTGGAAGCTTGGGGTGAACGTTCGCTTTCTTTTCCGGGGCATCTCGGCCGCACACGCTCTTGATGTCTGACACCTGGTCGCTGGCATCACTCAGCAGAGACTCGTTCTCTGCGTCCTGATTGGACAAATGACTTCCAGGAGAGTTCTGGCAGCTGAAGTAGCCTTTCTGCTCTGGGCCCGTTTCTAGCTCCTCGTCTGTCCCCGTGTCATTGCTTCCCTGAAGCTGAGCTACTGAACCGCTGTCCTCCTCCTCCTCCTCTTCCTCTTTAATCTCCTCCTCTTCCTTTAGCTGTTCCTCCTGGGCGTAGCCTGCAAGAGAAGGAGAAGAGATGAGATGACACATTCCATTCCCACGTCCCCATTTAGGTGGAGCGCTTCCCATGCTGAACTGGGCAGCAATTTCATTCACTGTTTATGAACTGCTAGAGATGGAAACAGGAAAAGCCAAATGGTGTCTTTCATGCCATGGACTGCCTTTAAAAAGAGTGTCAAGACTTATCATTCTCTACAAGTGCCTAGAATCCCAAGTTAATAATTCTGTGTTTAAGGAATATCATTATAATATTCCTATAATGGGACAGTTTCATTAATGTGCATGACTTTCAGGAAATCTGGATTGAAATGCAAATCCTATTAAAGTCATAACCGAGAAGGATGTTGGCTTGTAAGAAAACTAAGACTTGACCTTGGTGTTTCAGTGGTAAAGTTACCAAAACACAGATATATTGGCAAACACTCATCTGAATGTACCATTTTTAAGTGCTCAGAACTAATTTGAATGCTCAGCCAATATATTTTTGATAGCCAGTGCCCTTTTGTTGTAACATTTTTATTTGCAGAGAGGTTCACGACAGGAAGGGAGATTATGGAGTATGCAAATAAAATCTTCCATTGATAGCTGAAAAATTATGTAAGCTCAGCAAATATAATAATTTTTAAATAATGGCAAATAGTGCTAGAATGGGAGGTTTGGGGACTATCCTATTATTCTCAAACAGTCTTATGAAGACCTTTCCAGGCAAGGCTAAAATGCTATCTCGATCTTATTCCTGTAATTTCAAATGCACCGTGATTTGTGGGTACCCGTCATGAGATGCCAATTATACAGTTGATTTGTAGATGCAGAATGCTATTGGGGATGCATGCTTTCCCTTCTCGGAAAGGATTTAGGGCCAGTAATTGCAGAGGGAAAATGAAGACATGGGGGTGGTGCAAAGGGAATTAATGGCAAATATCCATCAATGGAGATGGAGAACATGACTATTTATGCCCATGGGTTCATTTTCTTCACCTGGCTTTTCAGAGCCACGTGGATAAAATGCAACCAAAGATATACCCAAGAAAAGGAGATTCAGCCTTGGATTTGCAAGGCTTGCATGATCTTAATGCAATATCTTCCATATGAGTTTCTATCTCTCTCTTGGTGGCAGGTGGCTACTCGGAAAAACACCCTAGAAGCAGGTGCTGTTATTTACATCCACCAAGGATCAAGCTTAGAAGAGAGATAGTCCTGCATTGAAGGTCTGTCCTGGGAAATGGCAGACAGAGTTCAAAGAGAAGCGGGTTTGTGAAGACTAAGGCAGCTGGAGTCAGGAACTCCAAAGGCTGATGGCAATGACGAAGAGGAAGATGTTATATATATATTTATTCATTTAAAAGCACAATGGTTTTGAGATGTTAATAACTATGTTTTTAAAAAATCACAATAAGCTACCAGAATATGTAGAACTTAGAAGACATTATTAGTCACCCAGAACCATAAAAAAAAGGTCAGCTATGGTAATAGTTGTGAGCAGTAAATTCACCATGAACAGACAAGCTCAGCTGGAACCAGGGGCCACCTCCACCAGCCAGCCAAGCCTTCAACATCCCCAGAAGGGCAACCCTTGAGGGGAGCAGGTCATCTATGAAGACCTTAGCCCACAGCCACTAACTTCTTGACAAGAGGCGTGGAAGAAAAGAAAGTCAAACTTATGTTTAAATGAGATTTTGACTGTTAGTTTTGACAAAAAAAAATTTATCAACATCTTTATCAAGTGCACACTGAAATAGTATAAAATCATTTACTAAACAGCAAGGAATATTTTCTCTGTATAGTAAATATTCCTAAAGAATTGAATATGTATAACCTTAGCCATATACAGTCAGTTCAAAAGAGGAAGTAACTTGGAAATGTATGTTTTAAAGATCTCATGATGATTCCGGGACCTTCAGGAGCCCCACCAATAAGGTCTCCTTTACTCTGCCCTCCATCCCTGTGCCCTTGTATTTTTTGCTTTCTGCTGAAGATGAAGAATTTTAACTGAGCAATTACTGTCTCCTGGGAACCAAGCTAATCACTGCAAGTACATTCTTTCATTTCACCTAATAGCTACACGAAGCAAGTACTATTATTATTTTCATTCCGCAGATGGGGAAAACGGAAACTTAAGGAATTCGCACAAAGTCACACAGCCAAGGTTGCAGGGTCTGGACATGAACCCAAATCTGTTGCATGAGAGAATCTACAGTCTTGCCCAGGAGGCATGGTCTCTTTGTATCACCAACCTAATGAAAATAATAAAAAAGATCACCACCTCAGGAGGGAGAACTGTGGGAATGCTGGATACAGGAGCCCATGATTTAAAAAAAAAAATTTTTTTAATTGTCAATGGGCCTTTATTTTTACTTATTTATATGTAATGCTAAGAATCGAACCCAGTGCCTCACACATGCTAGGCAAGTGCTGTACCACTGAGCTGCTGCAATCCCAGCCCAGGAGCCCATGATTTTAAGGTTGTGATATCATAACACAAGACGTGAGCATTCACTGCACCTGTTAAGGAGTTGTGTTCATTATTTTATTGCTATCGATGTGGCGTTGCTTCTTCAGCAAGCCCACAAGTGGATTTTTTCATTATATTGGTATTGCTGGTCTCTAGTTGCATAAATTGATTTAAAGAAACAACACGCACTAGGTCTAGTCAAACAACCATTAATAAGTGGCCTCTACTTGCAAGGAAATTGCAGTGTAAAGCCCGCAAACGACTGAGTCAGGCCATCTTTGTTGTTCTCTCCACATCTCTCTCCTCTGGAATAATCTGCATGTTTACAAAAATAGTTACACCATTAGGTTCCAGGAGAGCATCTATGTTACAAAATTAATAATGAGGAGTCACTAACCCAAGTAAGATGCTTCAAAAATCAGACAAATTTCATCAATCAAAATAGGGTCACTTTTGAAAAAGCAAAGGGTGGTCTTACTCCTGACAGACACTGAGTAGAAGGCACTAGGCAGCGCGGTTCCAGGCTGAGATATATGATCCCTTGCTTAGGGGCAGTGCGAGCACAGCAACAGACATGTGCACACACATACACACAGTGTGTCCACAACAACGCACATGTATACACATGTGCAGTGTGATTACAGCACATATGTACATGCACAGAGCAAGTGAAGAGTCTGGAGAGGGAAGGAGGGCTTTCTGTCATCACAGTTGGTTAAGGGTGTTTCTGGGTTTTATTCATCTAGTATTTTCTGTGCCTTACTCTGTGCCTGATGCTTATTAGGAAGCTGAGAATTAAATCAGGTGTCGTGTTGTGTGTGTTGATGAGACATTGGCGTGCACGCGTGCGCGCACACACACACACACACAAAAACACACACTCTCACACTAAATCTGCTCAGCCAATATAGTCATTTTCAAACAGGGAGAAAAGAAGTGCGCTCTCTCTCTCTCTCTCTCTCTCTCTCTCTCTGCTGACATTTGGAAGCTGCGCCTTCCGGACCAGCTCAACCTCACAATCTACTTTGTCCTTCTAAATGGATTCCCCAGAAGAAAAGTCGCAGACAGCACACGCCTCCCCCACAATACAGATAAAATTTTCTGCTTAATTAGGCATTGACATGTTTACTATAACCTTTACAGAAGAGTAACTCGTGCTGAGAGACCCTTTTTGTCTGTTTTTCTCTGCAGAACAGACTAAATCTCGTGCACCCGATAAGGTAACGCGTTGAAAAGCCTCATAAAAAAAGTGCCAAAGCACCTGTCAAAGTGAGTGCATTTTAACAATGGCTGAGGGTTCCAAGGAGTTTCTAAAAACACATTTTAATATTGTACATTTAAAACTGTTCACTTGACTTAAGTGATTTTGTTTGCCACCGGCAGTTGAGGCGAGAGAGGGAAGGCAGCCAGCATACGGGGAATCCGGTGGATAATGAGTGTCTGTCTCTCTCTCTATCGATGATTTGTTTAATAGGATTGCATCATGTGCGACTCTTGGTATAACTGGATGAGTGGCAGGTTTATTCTTATTTAACAAAAGAAAAAACGATCACAATTATGCCAAGGTACAGGAAGAACCTTTTTGCTGAGTTGGGTTGAAGGTCAAACTTCACGGTGACAAACATCCTCCATTCCAACCCAACCTCCATCCTTTACCACGCTGACTCTGGCCACGTGCATTCCCTTCCCGGGACAGCTCGTTCATGAGCAACCTGTCAGTTCCGTCTCAGTGACAGGCTCATGAGACCATTTCTCTTCTACTGCATGGCCACTGCTCAATGGGGCTGCCCTCCTGTCCGCTGGGGTGACACAACAGTCTTCCACACTTTGTCATCAGAACCTTCTATGCAGAATGGGTCAGGCCACGAGTTTCCTCCGATGCAACTCTGGCGGTGTCCTTCTGTTGCACTTGCAATGAAGTTCAGATCCTCTGCATGGACCACAGGAGCCCGGGGTTTGGTCGCCTGTTCCTGCTGCCCTCCTGCACACCCGCACCCTACTCTCCGTGTCTAAGACACAATAGTCTCTTTCTTTCCCCTCGAACCTGCCAACCCTTTTCTTGACTGTGATTCACTGACATTGCACATGTGTCTGCCCAGAAAGTTCTTCCTCTGTACTGCACGTCTCAGGGCTTTCCCTGGCCCATTTCCTGTCTCTGTGTGACTTTCTAGCATATCACCCTGCTGACGAATCCCTACAGTACTTGCCAGTGGTCCTATTTGTTTGTCTATTGATTGGTTGTCTTCTCCCACTGAATGTGAAATTAAAATATCTTTCCTTCTGAAGGAAGAGCTTGATCCTCCCCAGCACCCACATCGCCGACTGGTGTAGACCGCCGCATCCTGCCTACAAATGATTTCAATGCTTGAATGAATAGATCAGACAACGGAAGAGGACGATTCCAGCTGCAAACTCTGGTCCTTAGCAGTGCGACTGGCACCTCAGTTGAGGGGAGGCCCCCCCCAACCCACAGAGATCATGTGTGAATTACAATCGTCCTATCAACTTGATTCCACAACAAAACAAGAACACACACATAAAATC